TCATCACTATGTATGGTTTGAAAGTAAGGAAATGTTGTCCTAAACAAATGCATTGCATAATAGTTGAAGTACACTAAGTTTTGTCTTTTGAAAGAAAGGATTGAAAATAAAATATGTAACAATTTCAATAATTATGAAAAGAATATAAATTTGAATTGATATGCAAGGAGAGACAATTACATGTTCGTTTAAAAGAAATAAGCTACAAGCAGTTCTAAAAAGTGTGAGACATATTTCATAATCAAAATCAATATTAATATCTCTACAAAAGTCATTAAATGTATAAAGTAAATGGATTGAAGAGACGCTTACCTAACACTTGGAATATATAGATTTAATCCAATATGTTTGGTGTCCATTACATTTGTGGGAAACACATATACATCAAGAACAATGTGCCATTAGCCATTCAAAAGGAAAAAAAATAATGTTTTTTTATCAACAGCAGTTTAATTTTTTATTCACTTTTATGGCTTAATTCAGAGATGACAGTATACATGCAAATACTTTAATAACTACTATAAAAATTAGGTATTAGTTTCTTAACTATGCTAAATTTCAAATGTTAGATGCAAAGGTGAATTAATCACCAAAATCTGTATAAGTTTTTGATAAATGCAGAATGAATGATATAACATAAAACATACGCTTATTCATGGAGGTTAAATGTAAGTTTGTCATCCTATGTACCAAATATAATATAAAAAAAACCCTTAGTTAAACTAACAAACCACACACAGTCAGACACTCTTAGGAGTTATCTATTTATCTATAACCTCAGATCTTCCAATTAAACTTGAATAAGAAATCATATTCTTATTAGATGAGATATCATTGTTTTATTAAAAAACAACATAAATAGGAAACAAGGTAGATATTCGCTGTAAATGATAGTTAAGCCTAAGCCAGTTTTTAATTAGAATGATAATCCAACCTCAGCCAGTATTTAGCTATCAAAATGATAGTTAAATCTAAGTCATTGTTTACTCATGGCTAAACAAAAGAAGGATTAGAATAACAGTAAAAAAATTACAAAAGTATTCTTTCAAGAATAACATAAAAAAAAGAAAAAGATTATAAAGGAAAAACAAAGAGGAAGAAAGGTATATATAAATGAACATATGAAAGAAAAATACCACAAAAATGCTAATTGATGGAGCAATATATTGAAAGGAAAAGCTATAGTTCTATATTAAACGAGCATGGTACCTTTATCGAATTGAATTCTGTTACATTGGATCTAGCTAATGACTTCCTAACGCACAAATACAAATAACAGTTTTAAAACTTTGCAATGGACAAACATGAATCGTTGAAACAACCAACATTGGTAGACTACAGTCTGCACCCTTAGGAATATAAGGATAACACCACGAAAGTCTAAACAACTCAACTTTAATTATAATTAATCCACAATAGAAGAAACCCATTATGAAATTAACAAATTAGGACAAAAAATCGCATTCTAATCGAATTTGAACATTTCCGACATGGTATACAGCCAAGGAAATAAAAATAAATAAATAAATAAATGGGAAGAAATAATGGAGCCTTACAAATATACTTTGAAAAAGGAAGATAAAAAAATTAGATCTGACATTTTGTGTTTATGTGAAATATTTACTCTGCAATAGAAAGAGAGAATAAAATCAGAAACAATATATAAAAGAAAAGAAAATGAGAAAAGAAAGTTAATCGAAGGAAAAAACAATTAAATGAATTGAATGATAAAAAGCATAACAATATATTTTAGTTTTTAAAAGGAGAAAATCATTTTCTCTTACAAATTACACAACAAATATAAACTTTTAAAAGAATAAAAGTTAACTTACTTATGAGATTCAATCGCTATAACTAAATCTGAGATCTCAAATTCTTTTTGGGTTTTCCTTCGGCTTGAATTGATTTTGTCGGCATTTGCATAATAATTGCAAAAACTTCCCTTGTTTAGTTCTTCCAAAGGCCATGAGCTCTTCATTTTTTCAAAAAAAGAAAAAAAAAAGGACTCTTCCAATGGTTTGCTTTTTGGAAAAAAAAAAACGATTCAGATGAAAACTAGAAAATAATCATACTTTCTTGTAAGTAATGAGAAAGAAATGGATGGAATATTAATTGGCAAAGAAACAAATGGGTTGAATTTTTTCTTGGGCATTTAATATCTTAATCAAAATAAGTTTTTTAAATTGGTATATTTAAACATGGTCTGGAAAGAAGGATGATTGGGAAGAAGATCAGAGAGTGGAGGAGCCATTTGTATTTTCAATATTACTGCAAAAACGTCGCCTTGATCATTTCTTTCAAAAGCCCAGAATCTTTCATTTTTACACACAAAGGTTAAAAACTCTCTAGATGATATTTTAATTGAAAAAAAAATAAGAAAATAAATGCACATTAAATATACGGGTAGACGAAAAGAGAAATGGGATCATGGATGGGCTTGACACACGTAATAAAATATGAGATGAAGCTGACATTGGATAGCTGTAGATGGCAAATGGGTTGACGTGGACCTTATGTGACATTGTCCACTAGTCATAATTTTATGTATTACACAAAAAAAAAAAAAGGTATTTTAACTAACTTCAAAGTGGCATTGCAAAAAAAAAAAAAAAATCTAACTTTAAAGAATGCCGTTAATGTACTGTTAACAAAATCTTTAATAGATAAGTAATGAGCTATTAGTTCGTCGATTTTGAAATTAAAAATCTTGAATTCAAATCTTAATTACCGTAAAAAGAAATAAAGAATTTCATAATAGATATCAATTGTTTTTAAATTTCCTATGAAAAACATTTCAGTAAAGTTCCCAAATGATTTGACATTGAAAACGTCAATTGCACGAGAAAATTCGTAAATTTGACCCATGTAACTATCTTAAGCCTTAATTTCTGGTTAAGACAAGGTAGTCGTTGTGGTAGTAATAGTAGTGAGAGCTTGGTCTAAACAGTTCTCTAGTTTAATATGCTATCAGGTTGATTTTTTTTGAGGTTCCTATCACCAATGACAAGAATCGTTTGCTTTAATTGGGCCTGTGCTTAGGGACGGCGAGCTAATCCATTTTCAACGGGTTTCGGCTCGATCTGATCTCATAGAATCGGTTATTTTTTTTTAATTCGAGTTTCGGAATCATTTCGAGTCGGATAAAATAAAAACACATTCGGGATTGGATTTGCCTAAAATTCGATTCGATTTGATCTGATATTATATAAAAAATTATTTTTTAATTAATTATTTAATTTTTTATTATACATATATATTTATATAATGATATTTTTAAATATTTATATTTTAAAAAATAATATTTTATTAATTTCGATCGGATCGGATTGAGTACGATTTATATGATATCGAGATCGGATCGAATTCGGATATAAAAAATCAAAAAAATTTCGAATAAAATTAAATTCAAATTTAATAAAATATTAAATCAGATCGAATTCGAGGCGAGCAAAATCCACCTCAAACCCGATCCGATGCCAACTCTACTTGTGCTTTTGCCAACAAATTTGAACAATTTAAATATGGTAATTGCATAACACGGTAGCGTTATTTAGTGGTTCGTGAACCAAGATGATGTCTCAGGAAACGGACATCTTGAATTTGACTCTTCCCACTAAACGCTCTTGAAGATTTACTCCATCCATGTGACATGGGAAAAGTATATAAAAAAAAATATCTAATAATTGCATAATCTAGTAATGACTTTTTTTTTTTTTTGACAAGGCTTTTCAAAGTTAATTTAGCTCAAAGAACACGTGTACGTGGCAACATAATTCTCTATTAGGGTTTAAAAATTGAGAATAAAGCTGTAAGGTAGGTTACAATAAATGCTTAAAAGATTAGGTATCACATCCTTAATTTGTCTCCCAATATTGGTTTTTATTTGGCTTTTAAAAGAGAACCAAATTTGTTTTTGATCCCTTTGCATACTGAATTTAGAGTTTTGAAAAAAATAATTTTGGAAAACCAATAAGAAATAGTTTATATAAAACCAAAATTTGTTTGACATTAAAATGTTAAAGAAAAACCAATATATTTATTGAGTCTTGAGCTAAATAAATGGGGGTAATTACGGGTGGATATTCAAATAAAGAAATGTTAAAGACTGTTTAAAATGATATTTATAAAATATTTTATAAGTAATATTTTATCGCTTCTTGAATTTGGTTATGTATTTTTTTCCATCAAATTGATTATGTATTTAAGAACTAGAAACATTTTTTTTTTTATGAAGAAGCATTATTATTTCAAACCAATAAAAGAGAACAGTTAAGAGAAAGACTAGCATAAAGTATAGATGTGGTAAAGTAAACTCAAATATGAAAGCACGTTCAAAAAACTCAAATCTAAACTTGATCAATCTCAAATTTATCAGAAAGATAAACTTAAATTTGAAGAAATTTGAATTTAAAATTATTTAAAATTGAAATATCCTGAATAAAAAATAATTTCAATTAGAGATTGATCTAATCCATATTCAAAACAATTTAAATTAATAATAATTAAAAATAATAATTATGAATTTTAATTAAAAATTTTTACAACGGAGCTTGACATGAACTCAAGGCAATGCAATCCAAAAAGAATTCTTGTATGGAATCAATAGAAATTCAAAATAGCTCCAACTTTAAATGTCCCAAACAAAAAAAGAAAAAAAATTCAAATCCGTGACTTGAACGTAGGATGAAACCGACCCAAATCCACACATTTTCCACATACAACAGCAAATGAGAGTAAATAAATAAAATAAAGAAAACAAAAGAGCAAGAGAAAGCGTAAGGCGGACTTCATTGGGACCCTGTTCCCGCAAGCAACGGCCTAGATTCTCTCTCCCTCCCAATTCCCATCTCGTTTATCTTGTCTCCCCCTCCCTCCATCGCCTTTCCTTCCATTTCCACTCTCTCTTCCTTTCTTCTCTGAAAAATCACTACAGAGGCACAGCAAAAATACCCAAAGAAAAAAAAAAAAGGAAGAAAGCTAAGCCAATTATATAGAACACCATGTTGCTAGGGAAACGTTCACGCCATCCGATCGAGAGGACGACAAGCATGACAGGTATCACCGTTGATGTCTCCAACATAAAGGATGCCCAAGAACCAATTATATCCGATCCTCTCCCTTAAAACCCTTTGCGTGAATTCCAAAACGGAAACTTTGGTTACGATCAACGTTTGTTGGCCATGGTGTCCCCAAGAGACCCAGCTTCTGGAAGATCAGATTCTCCTAACCATGTTGTCGAAACTTCTCCTTTCTGCACTCGTGTTGCCTTTGTAAACGCCGCTTAGCTCCTGGTCGTGACATATATATGTATAGGTATTTTTCCCTTTTTCTTATTATTTCTCTTAACTTCTAGATTGCTGTTCTTTTTTTTTTCCTCTCAAAAAAGTCTTGTTTAAGCCCAATTTGAATCTTTGTTTTTTTAGACTATTTTTCATTGAATTTCATAGGATTTTTTCTTTTAATTTTTTCCAAAAAGATTTTGAAAGACCATATATATATATATATATAAATAATTTAGCAAAGAAAAAAAAGGATCTAGAAGTTATAGAATTATTATTAAGAGAAGAAGGATCAAGTGCATTAATATTTTAAAATTGATTGGGTCGAATTTATACAATAATATTGCAGGGGGATACAGCGTTTTGTAGTCTAGAGTGCAGGGAACAGCTGACGAAGCAATACGAAAGAAAAGAAAAATTGAACGTTGTAGCTGAAAAGAAAGAAGACGGCCATTCATCTTCAATCACCACCTCCTAGCAAAGCTTCTACTAAAACCGAGCCTGTGGCTGCTGCTTCAGCTTTGAAGTTGATCATCAGGATTCAGGAGGTGTAATCGAAAACCCAAACCCATCGGCCAACAAATAAATTAATAAATAAATAATGCAACTCGACCGTCTTTCGTCATCGTTTGTGCTCCTAGGCTCCATTATTAAAGCCCACTAATGTTTCACAGTATTATAAAAGATGATGATGATGAAAATAATATTATGAATCTGTAATATTGGGTTAAAAAAATTAAATATATTAAAAAACAAAAATATAGTGGGTGCATATATATGAGTGTGTGGATGCTGCTGCAAATGGTTCAGCATTTATGATTCCAATTCCAATTTTAACCTCTCTCGAAGGTCTAGAAGCTTTTCCTTTTCTACTTTCCTTTTTACTACACTACAAGTTCATTATGATCATGACAGCTTCCACTATACATTCACCCAATCAATTATTAATGTGGCAAAGAAGTAGATCATTACAAGAAATTTTATTTTTAAAGTTTAGATTACTTGGTATAAAATTTACAATTTTTTTTGCCACAGTAAACGGTTTTATGTTGTAAAAATATGACAATATAATCCTAACTTAAATGGACGGACCAAATTTGAACTTAGTATTTTAAAAGTATCAACAATACTTTATTCAATTCGGTCGTATCCATTTGGATACATCTAATTAAACCTTAATAATAAAAAATGTATTTTGTGAGAAAATAAAATGAAAAATTTATAAAATATTTTAACTTTGGATTTTTTTAATCAAATTAGAAAGTATGATAATAAATTGCATCCATTAAAAAAATAATGGTAAATTTGTTCTAAAATTTGATCTATCATTCTAAATAGAATGATAAATTTAAACCTTTCTAATTATAATGCAATGAACATGCAAAAATCTTTAAAATCTGATTGTGAAAATTTTAAATTCTTCTATAGGATAATTTCAAATAAACTTGTACCTTAAGAGTTTGAAAATAGTTGAGAATACATAGTTCTAGTGTTCCAAAAATTGAGGTAGTCGGAAATGTATTTATCCTAGCTATTTGAAGCATTGATTCCTCGTGGCCTTGCTTTTACATTTTTCTTCTATCGATTAGAAATCTCTTATGAATAAATGTTAGAACAGTTTTGAGATTGCTAGATGAATTTCAAAACAAATGGAATTGTTACTAATTTTTTTTGGTTAATTATGATTGACCATCTATTAAAATTAATTAAATTTTATTAAAAAATAATTTTTGGGTTTGCGAAAATAGTTTAGATTCGACAGTTGATTATGTGTGAAAAAAGGATTAGTATTTCTACAATACCCATTAAAAAATAGTACCAATTAATTATGTATTATCCTTTAATTTTGAAAAAAAAATCTTATTTTTGGTTTTAAAAACAATTCTCTTGATTGCCTTTATTAACTTATTTTCATTTCTACTTTTGTTATTTCATCTCTTTTTCCTTTTTACAGATTTTTTATTTTTTATTATTATTTTATTTTTTAAAAGACTAATCCATTTTATTTAAGGAAAATAAATTAGAATCTTGTCATCGAAAAAAACTCTTAAAATGTTTCAATGTTTTGGAACATTGAAAGAATTTTTCTCACTTAGGGATTTTTTAAGAATCGCTACTCAAATTTCTTTAAAATTTCGTTCTCAAGGACTTGTATCTATTTTTCAAAAATTAAATGATATGCAGACAATGCAAAATGTTTAAATATTGATGCACATATTGTATTTTTTCTTTAAAAAATTATTATTATTTTTTTATTACACACATTTTTTTAGAAGAAAATAGAAATTTTTATTATATTGAAAATTTTTATAAATATTCAAATACGTTGGTAGTATTTTAAAAAAAAAAAATTCACTTAGAGATTTTTTAGGAATCGCTACTCGAAATACCTTAGAATCTTATAATCGAATAAAATTATCTTTTTCTTCATTTTTTATTATTTTTATTTTATAGAAAATTTTTTTTATTGTATTGAAAACCTTTTATAAATACTTCAATATGCTAGTAGTATTTTAAAAAAAAAATTTACCTTGAGATTTCTTAGGTGTCGCTACTCGAAATACCTTAAAATCTCATCGTCAGATAAATATTTCTTTTCTTACATTTTTATTATTATTTTATTTATTTTATTTGTCATTTTTATTTTATTTTTAAAGAAAAATTTTATTTTAATTAAAATTATCAAAAATCTAAACTTTATTTTTATTAGAAAAATTATTTTGGAACATATATAAAAAAATACTTCAAAAAAATAATAGTAAAAAGAAAAAAAGTAAATAAATAAAAAATACAAAAATATTTGAACAAAACCAGTCAACAATCTAATCAATGTTCCAGAGTAGTTTGCGAGTAATTCAGCGATCTGAAATAGTTTTTCAAGCGATTCAGATTGGTTTTTTAAAAGTTCAGTATTAGTTTAATTAGATCGGTCTAAGCTGAAGGAGAAAACAGGTCATCAAGTTGAATACGCTAACCATGGGTTGGATCGAGGGCATACGCACAAATCCTGAGCCCCTAAATGACATCATTTCATCCTTCTTTTTCTCAAAAAAATAAAATCTCACAAATCTTTAAAGACAATTAGCCACCTTTTTCCGAAATTGACTGGTGGCCATCGCTAAAGGGTTTGTCCTGATTCCTCATTTCAATTTTCAATCTCTGCTTTGCCTAAAAACCAACCCAAAAGCCTAGATCTAAGTTTGAACCCACAGTTTCAACACCAAAAACAACCCTTTCCACCACTCCAATTGTTGCAATTTCAAACTATATCCCTCACCTACTCTTAACCTTCTTCTTCACCTAAAAATCTAGCCTCAAAACTCCTCAAAATCACCCAATTTGAAAAGCTTTCTTTTTTTGGATTCAAATTTTTCTATGTTAATTTTTTTTTGGTTTTGTGGCGTTGTGGTTAAGGGTGTAAATGATACATTAGTACTCGCAAGCTACTTGGGTTCGATTCGAAGAAAACTTGAATTCGGTTCGATTATTATCGAGTCGAGCTCGAGTAGCTCGACTTATCGATCGAGTCGAATTCGAGTATTCTTATATCCGGCTCAAGTAGCTCGCGAGCCAAATCTAGCTTTTCTATTATATATTTATTTTTATTATTTTATTTATAAAATTACTTTTTTACCCTTAGCTTAAAAAACCCTAAAATTTTATTTTCTTTCTTTTTTTCTTCTCCTTCAGTTTTTTTTCCCGTCTCTCTCACTTACCAACAGCCCTACTTACGGCACTTTTTCTTTTCGAATCCCATTCCATTGTCTTTCAAGCTTGTTTCACCCTTTCGAAAGCCCTTTCTCCTCTCTCTAAAAGGCTTGAACAGAACCCGATCTTGAACAAAACACATTCGACGTTTGTAGCAGCTTCAACAGAACCCATTCGATGTTTACAGCAGCTTCAATAGTTTGCAGCAGCTTCAACAGTTTACAGCAGCTTCAACAATTTGCAGATCTTGAACAGAACCTATTCGACGTTTGTAGCTTGTAACAGCTTCAACAGTTTACAGATCTTGAACAGAACCCATTCGATGTTTGCAGCAGCTTTAACAGTTTACAGTAGCTTCAACAATTTGCAGCAACTTCAACAGTTTGCAACAGCTTCAACAGTTTGCAACAGCTTCAATAGAACTCATTCGATGTTTGCAACAGCTTCAATAGTTTACAGATCTTGAACAGAACCCATTCAATGTTTGCAGCTTGCAGCAGCTTCAACAGTTTACAGATATTGAACAGAACCCATTCGACTTTTACAGCAGCTTCAACAGTTTGCAACAGCTTCAACAGTTTACAGCAGCTTCAACAGAACCCATTCGACGTTTGCAGCAGCTTCAACAGAACCTGATCTTGAACAGAACCCATTCGACGTTTGCAGACAGAACCCATTCGACGTTTGCAGCAGCTTCAACAGAACTTGATCTTGAACAGAACCCATTCGACGTTTGCAGCTTCAACAGAACCTGATCTTGAACAGAACCCATTCGACGTTTGCAGCAGCTTCAACAGAACCCGATCCCTCAACGTAGCCCTTTCTCCTCTCTCTAAAAGGTAAGCTCGTTTCACCCATTCGACGTTTGCAGTAGCTTGAACAGAACCCGATCCCTCAACGTAGCCTTTTCTCCATGACATACTTTTTAAGTGCCATTTTTTTATTAAATGTTTTTATGTTAGGCTTCCAATTCATGCTAAAAGGCGGTTTAAATAAGAATGCCTTAATTAAATACCTTTATGAATGCCTAAATTAAATACCTTTATGAATATTGTGGGCATGCAGATCGAGAACAACAATGAAAGGGGGCAAGGTGTTATAGCTATTTGTTAGTATTGATATTTTCAATTTTGATTTGTTTGTCAAACACTATCGTATTATACTTTTATTTTTGTTGCAAACTTGTGAAAAGTAGTATGTTCTTTGTGAAGTTGCATTTAAATACTGAATTTTGTAAACCAAAAGTCTCTATATTATTAGTAAGAAAGTAATTGAATTTGGGCCACTTCAAGACTTGCACAATACCCTTTATCACTAGAAAAACTTTTGGATGGTTCATATTATTTAACAAAAAAAAAAAGGTCATTGGCTCTATTGTTTTTAGTCATAATCATAATTTAAGCTTCCATATAGTTCATCACTAATTTATTGGGGACTGTTTTAATGTGAATACTTTTCTTCTTTATGCATATTAGATTTGTTAGAATATAACCTGACACTTATTTCTAATGAAATTGAGTTAATGTTATATAAATACTAAATAGGCATGTATAATTGTAAAAATTAATAAAAAATATTCATTTTAAAAAATTGATTTTAGAAATTGAAATTATTATCGAAGTAGGTAATCTTAAATTTATTAAAATTCCTACAATATTAGTATATTTTCCCAAAGAATACAATTTTATTCTCTTCCAATAATTTGTTCTCGCAACTTGTTTAACATGTTTCTGGCAATAAAATTTACCGCACATGTTTCTAACAACTTGTTTGCATTATTGTTTGATCCTAAAATTATATTATTGTTTTGATTTGTCTTTTATTTTTTTGCTATAGGGAACTAAACATGTCATCAACCACACCGGATATCTCTTCTATACCAGTTCAGCCGACAATAAATTCTTTTACTAGTCGAATTGTGTCAGATGATGGTAATGATTCAATGAATGAAGCTTTAGATGCCACTAATGGTAACACAGATAAAACACCAGTCATTGATGCCAATGATAGAGAATGTGATAATGCTGACCCTGAAGAGTGTGAAGAAAGTAATGAGAAAAAGAGGCAAAAGACATCTGCTGTTTGGTTAGAATTTAAAGAAGTCACTCTTTCTGATGGTTCCAAAAAAAGAGAGTGTGTCCATTGCAAGAAGAAGCTAGCAATAAATACAAGTAAAAGTACGACTCAATTTAAGAGGCATTTGATAACTTGTGTTAAGAGAAAAATTTTTCAGAATCAACAACAAATGATCAACTTTCAGCCAGTAAACACATGTGGTGATATACAGATACTACCTGTTCTCACAGATGGCAAGTTTGATATGGTAAAGATGAGAGAAGCAGCTGCACATTGGATACTTATGCACGAGCATCCTTTTTCGATTATAGAAGAGGAAGGTTTTAATATGATGCAAAAACGTGGGATGCCTGAATGGGAAAAGGTATCACACAATACTATTAAAAAAGATTGCATGCAAGTTTATGAAGCAAAAAAGAAGAAATTAAAGGCATTGTTGAAGACTGTCAGCAAGATTAGTTTGACAACAGATTTGTGGAAATCAAGTAATCAAAAGATTGAGTACATGGTTCTTACAGCACACTTTGTAGATTCTAATTGGAGATTGTAAAAGCGTGTTATTAGCTTTATTCACATACCTCCTCCTCGTCGCGGTGTTGAGATTGCTGATGTATTTTTAAGTGTCTAAAGAAATGGGGAATTGAAAACAAGGTGTTTACACTTTCTGTGGACAATGTTTCAAGTAATGATGTGGCAATTAGAATTCTTAAAGACACTTTTTCAAGAAATAGGATGTTGCTTTGTGGAGGAAAATTATTTCATGTTCGGTGTTGTGCACATATCTTAAATCTCATGGTTCAAGATGGCCTTTCTGAGATTAAGAATGTGATTGGTGATGTTCATGAAAGTGTCAATTTTATTAATCAAAATGAGGCAAGACTTAACTCATTTTCTGATATAGTACAGCAGTTACAGTTACCTGATAGGAAACTCATTCTCGATTGTAAAACACGTTGGAATTCGACATTCGAGATGTTGTTGATTGCAATCAAATTCAAAGAAGTATTTTCGAGACTCAAAGAGCGAGAATCTCATTATGAATGTTGTCCAAGTCATGAAGATTGGGAAAAGGTGGAGAAAGTTTATGAGATTTTAAAAGTTTTTAATTCAGCCACTAAAATCATATCTGAAAATAATTATCCAACTTCAAACCTGTTTCTGAATGAAGTTTATTGTGTGAAAGTGTTGTTGGATAAAAGGATGAATGATGAAAATGAATTTGTTCAAGCAATGGTTCGTAAGATGAAGAGTAAATTTGATAAGTATTGGGGAGAATGTAATTTGTTGATGTCTATAGCAGCAATCTTGGATCCAAGGTGCAAAATGAGGGTGACTGAGTTTTGCTTTCCTCGAATGTACCCTGATAGAGAAGTAAAAGAAAATATTGCTAAAGTTCGAGATGCCCTTTATGAGATTTATGATGAATATGCTCGTGAGTATCAATTTGGCAATGAGCATAGTGCTGAAACTCAAGTGCATGATAATGGTATTAGTGGTATGAATATAGAAGCTTCTTCTTCTGGTTGGTTTGAATTTGCAAATTATGTAAAATCAGTTGAAACTGCTCAACCACAACAATCTGATTTAGATGTCTACCTAGCTAAGGGCTATTTTATCTGTGAAGGAGATTCCACTAAGTTTCATGCTTTGGAATGGTAGAAAGCGAGCACTTTGAAGTATCGTATTTTATCCAAGATGGCTCGGGATATACTTGCTATTCCTATCACTACAGTGGCTTCAGAAGCTACCTTTAGTACATGAGATAGAGTTATTGATACTTATCGTGCTTCTTTATCTCCTGACACAGTGCAAGCATTACTTTGTGGAGGAGATTGGTGTCGGAATCTTCATGGAGTGAAGAAGAAGAACAAAGTGAGTTTTTTTTATTATTATTTTGTTATTAGGTGACTATCATTACTTTAATCTAATTTTTAACTATTATTTTCCTTTACTTTATCTATATAGAAAGAGAAGAAATCAATTGAGATTGCACTCAAAATCCCCTAAAGTGAGGATATCTAATGTCTTTTATACAGGTATGAAATATTATTATTAAATACTTTTAATTTGTCACAACATTACTAAAGAAAAATAGGTAGTAGCTAGTCTAGATTGAGCTTTTTGCATTATAATTTACGAACCATAGGTTAACTAATGATAGAAACTCATGTTAAGGTAATTGATAAGATACTGTTTATATTTTTTTGCTCTGATTATAAGACAACTGACAAGATAAAATCCATGTTGATGCTAATGTAAAAAATTTAAAGTTATTGATCATTGTAATAATATTACAATCTTTTTCTTGTATGGGTACTTTTGTCGTTATTCTTATTGTTAATTATAATTTCTTTGTTTTGTAATTATTCTTTTGTATAGGTTTATTGAAAAGCAATATGAGCCCAATGTTCATTTGAAGACATAATATTATGAAGGCAGCATATGTATTGTTGTTGGTTTGTTGTAACTTATTTGTGAACTTATTTGCTTGGATATTTAATATCTTTCAATTAGGATTTTAATTTCTAAGTTTCATCATGTCTTATATTTGTGTGTTGTATTTGAATCATTTAATGAGACTTTTATTTGCTTAAATTTGGTTGTTGTGTAAGTTATCATTATTATTGTTGTTGTTGTTGTTGTTATTGTTGTTGTTATTATTGTTGTTGTTATCTTGAAAATATAATATTTATTAGGTTTAATAAAAATTAGTTGTTAAAGATCTCGAGCTCGAGCTTGAATAATCGAGTTTTTTTCGAATATAAAAATTGAGCTTTTTTTTATATATTAATCGAGCTTAATCGAGTGAGCTCGAATTCGATCACGAATCAAGTTCGAGCTTGAAAAATGAAACTCGATCGAGCTCGAACCGAGTATCGAGCCCCGAATTGTGAGTCGAGCTCGAGCTCGAGCTTCTCATTATTCGGCTCGGCTCGGCTTGTTTACAGCCCTAGTTGTGGTTCCCTTGTTAGGGATGTGGTTAAATTTTTTGTGTTCTTTTTCTTTGGTTTTTTCTTTGTTGGCAATGGTTGATTCGACTAGAAGTGGGTGAGTAAGGAAAATGGTGATGGTAATGGCTTAAATGAAGGGACTATTTGGTACAAAAGGGTTTTGGTTGTTATGGCAGTGGATTGGGGTTCGAATGGTTTCGGTTGGTAAAGGTCTGTGAAGGTAATATTGGGTTGAATGGTGGTGGTTGAAATGGAACTTGGTGTGATAGGTGTGGGTGAAAGGTGGGTTGTGGTGTTGTAGATTACTAGGTAATTTTTGGTGATAAGAGTTTGGCTAAGGGTGCTTTGGTGGGCTTATGGTGAACAAGTGAAAGCTTTTCTGATGAATGATAGGGATGATGATTTTTCGCATAGTTTTTGTGTTAATGGTGGGTTTAATGGCTAGAGCTTCTGTGAAAAAAAATTTTTATGTATTTTTTTTGCTTTGTGTTTCTAGGGAAAAGGTCAAGTATGATAACATATAAGGATGACAGTAGGATTTTTTTTCGATGAAAAGAAAGTTGCCAAATGCCTAGTAATGATAGAGGACTTAAAGATTTTTTTTTTTGTTCAACCTTTCCCTTTTATTTTGCTGTGAATTCCTTCCAAATATCAAGACTAGTTTGCTACTAATAATTTGGCTTGTTGTGGTTGCTTGTTGCTTTTGCAACATTTATGGTAGGGTAGTGGAGAAGTGGTTATTACGCCTGAGAATTTTGCCCTCACATGGCATGAATTGCTAGTCACTAATTTTTGTTGTTTTCTATTTTTTTTTTACTTTTTATATTTTTTTCTTTTATTTTTTTATAATTTTTTCAATTAATGATAATAAAAACTAAAAATTAGATTGAGCTTCTAGAAAATGAATGTGGGCTTACTGGCTTTTGGGTTTTTAAGCCCATATTATGATTTAGACTTTAGGTTTTTAAGGCCTATACGAAGGCCTATACGACCTAGTTGACCTAAATGGAATTGGATTGGGTTTTGATCCATGCAAAATAAAATGAAATGAAAAATAATAACAATAAAAAAAATTAAAAATTGACTAATCCGAAACAAGTTTGAACAAACTCAATTCGATTTAACACTTAAGTTAGCTCAAATAAAAAAATATAAATTATTCATAAAAATTGAATAAATTTGAAATGACCCAGATAAAATTGGGTGTCTACAATCAATACACACATCATAACTCCCACACCTATATACCAAGAACAACACATTCATCCTTGGTGAATTCCTTTCCCTTACATTTTTCATATAATTAATTCTTTACGACTAGTCTATACCTCACAAAGCTTATTTTCCTATAACTGACTAAAAAAAGTTGTGAAAAAATTAGACTTCGACAGGAATTTTAGTTAGTAAAGATTCTGAATCAGCTTTACTTGATCAATTACCTATATAAAAGAGAGAGTTATTTTTTACCATTGTCTTTTTTGTACATATATAAATTTAACCTTATTAAAATTAAAAATTCATTATTTTATCAACATATCAATTGTGATTTGAGAGAAATTTTTTATATTTTGATTATTTTTTTTACCATAAATATGCCATTTTATTTTGTTAAATTGTTGTGGCCCCTCCTTTATAAATTATACTTTTTACATTATTCCATCCATGATGTAATCACGTCTCAATATAGAGGATACTTTTGTTAGATTTTATTTGATTTTAACTTTCATGAACTCATTCAATAAATGAGGATCCTTATGCAAGCTGAAACATCTACAATCACTAGCAAACTTTAAGGAAAACAAAAGGTTCCAATTTATTGTTGGCTTATTCTTCATTTTACAATTAATTTCGTTTCTCTTACATAAAGATGACAACCATATTCCAAATTTGTTAATACTCAACTTGAAAAAACAAAAGAACTTGAGATTATCCAAATTAACCTAAAAACATTTAATTTTGAAATAATTCAAATTCAAAATAATCTAATTTGAGATTTACTTGATTAACATCTGTAAAACCAAAATTTAATATTAAAAAATATAATTTATTTACTAACTTTTTTTAATTTGAATCCGATCCAAATTCGAGATACTTAAGATTGAAACGATTTAAATTTGACGTGATCCAAACTGTTGATATGCCTCATCCAATCTCAAACTGAATTTTGTCTCCACAAAATTGTTATAAAAGGTGCTTTGTGAATTGTGATTTGAAACACAAAAAATTAAAAAAAGGAAAATAAAAGAAAAAAAAAAAGAAGAGAGAAAATAGAAGAAAAAATAGTAATTAATGATGGAATATAATAAAATAATAATAAATTTTCATGTTCATTATGTTTCATTATCAAATGTTTTCAGTATATTTTTAATGTTTAGTCTTTTTGGAATAGGCAAGAACTGATGGAATGTTCTCAATATATTTTCAATGTTTAGTATTTTTTAGAATAGGCAAGAACCAAGGAATCAGTGATATGGCTCAACTAGCTACAGGTTATTATTACTAATAAAAATGAAAGGGATCCATTCGAAGGATGTTTTTTTTTTAGTGATTATTGTATTGATGTGGGTTATTGTGTTGTCTTGCGACCCCTTGACATTGATGGAAAGGTCCTAAAGGGCCTAATGATTTGATCTCCCAAATTGCCTTTTCCTTTTTTATATATGGTTTCTTTACAATAAATAGAATATTATATTTTTTTTCTTTGTTTATTATGCATGTATGAGTTCAACCTATTCATTAAAAAATAATTTTTTTATTACATAAAATCTTTTCTTGCTCGCACACTACAATATCTCAACCTTAATTTTTTGAATTAAAATGTCTAATTCTAAGGTTTTGGGGTATATATATAAATTCCTTAAAAGCATATAACATTATTACCCTTAACTATTTATTTGAATATAATTTGTTTACTTTTATTAATTTCTATAAATACGTAATTTTGTCAAAGACAATTTGATCTTGTTCAATTTTGATTTTGGTTAGAATGTATCAATTTAGAGTGATTCAAATATTGTAATTAGATTGGACTTATTTTGACTTCATCTTAAATATTTAGGATAATTTTGCATGGACTAAAACCCTATCTAATTCAAATTTAGGTCAATTGGACCTAACAGAAATCCCAAAATTCAATTGTAGGCACAAAGATAAGTTTAAAACCTAAGCCCAATAAAGTCCTATTAATTTTTTTAAGCACCAAAGTTTTTTAAATTAGATTAATAAATGAGATGAAAAATGAATATAAAAGAAAAAAATCATAGCAAAGTTAAGCTTGGTAACCGATATTCTTTTCATCCAAAAATCTCTTCCTCCTAATTCTCCTTTTATTGCTAGCCTTTTGGTTTTTCCCCTTCATTTTACTCACTTCATTTTTAACTCAATTTTATCAAACCTTTATCATTTTCCCTACACCCTAAAATTAGCAAGCTCTATTATCCCAAAAGTCAACAATCATTGTCGCAACAAACCTCCAAAAACCTCAATCAAACCAACTCAATTTGCTAGACTTCAAGTATAGGCATTTCAAATTCTCTTACAAGATAAAAGCCTTAGATAATTTTCATAACGGAAAGAGCTATTTTTTAGAAAAAGAACACAAAAAAGAAGCAAAATACTATTTAATTGAATAGCCCATTCCTTAGCTTCCACAACACCACCTAAAACTCACCACCACCAATACCTATCACCAAAAATCATCCCACCATCCACCATTGCAACCACCATCTTTAAGGCATCCAAACCTCAGCACAAAACACTTAAACTTAGCTAAAATTCTAACTGCATCCTTAAATCGTGACCAATAACCATCGTAGCCAACACACATGATCATTTCCCTAACCAAAAATCACCTAGCCACCTACCAAAAACCCATATTAGAAAAAAAGACCATAAAAGAAGTAACAAAACCATAATAAACAA